AATCCATATCACAGCAGGGTTTTATAATTACTAAGGCCTCCCAGGTTGAAGCAGCCAAAAATGGATATGAGGAAAAGTTCAGGGAAGTGAAATCATCCAGCATAATGCTACCCATTGAAATCTTATTTGTATGTGAAAACATATGTTAGTACCATATGCCTGACGCGCTACAGGAGTAGTAAAGTAAAAAAGTAAAGATCCCTTTTCACGCCTTTCGGCGCATCGGGCATATGGGCAGAGCGTCCCATATTTTTACAGACCATCAGCACTCTGTGGGTAATGTGGTCAGCATTATGCCGGCTGTCTTTACTTTCCCAGGACAGCCCATCCTGGTACCCATTTTAGGCTGGGTCGACCTGCGATGTCCCATACCACGATAAAAATCCACGCAGCCTGCATTGGGTATCAATCGCGGTATGCTGGCTTACAAGTCGGACTCGCAACGCCTTAGACAGGAGTAGAGAAGACCTTAAACTGATTTTTACAAAGAATAAACTGGCAAAACTAACCTTCAAGTCAGCAATTCTCTGTAACACATGGGCTGGACAGTCCATCTTTATAACTGCCTCCCACAGAAAGATCTGCATCCATCACCGCGGACATCCTACCCAAACAAGCAGAACTAATATCATCACTGTCACTTTCACTTTCTTCTGTAATTTTTGTGATTTCTTCTGCTTGTTTCTGAGCCTTTTTATACTCGTTTCGGATTTGTCCATAAACTATACAATCATCATCATCCTCAGCATCATCAATTACTGAACTTGATATACTGGTGACATCATCTACAGTTCCCTGTAAATTATTCACGTGTTCTGACGATAAGGGGGAAGCAGTCTTCTCATGCAACCTTCCAGAGACATCACAATGAGAAGTATGAAGAAATACATCACTATCTGGGATGTATTCTGCACCCTCTTCTGCACCTAGCTGGTCGTATGGAAATGGGTCTCTAGTAGTTAAACCATCAAACAGGGATTCCAGATCTGAGGGCAGAGGTGTGTTGCGAAGAGATGAGAGAGCATTTCCTTTGCCACACAGCTCCAGTAGTCTTTCACAGCTTACGTATATAACCTACATCAGAAATAAACAAGAAAACATCTATGTATGAAGTGTAAGTAATATTATTACTTATGTATGTAAATTATCAGTCATTTAATATATCAGAGGAACAAAATCAATTATCTATACAGAGTGACAATATCAGTTACCATTTTTTTAAGTGTATAAGATGACCACAAGTTTTAAACAGGAAAACAAAAAATTTGGGTTGTTTTATAATAGAATGAGTTTAAAATATTTGTTCCTTAAATTCTGGGCTAATACATAGGGGTAGCCTCATACGTAAGGGAATTTTACACACTGAAAAATATGGTATATATTTAGAGTATCCATATCAAGTATATTTGTAGAGTAACTTTATTAATTATGTATGTAGATTAACACTATTAATTATAAATGTAGAGTAATTTTATCAATTATGTATGTTGATTAACACAATCAAATATAAATATAGTGTAACTTTATTAATTATGTATGTAGATTAACACTACTGAATATAAATGTAGAGTAACTTTACCAATTATACATGCAGATTAACACAATTAATTATAAATGTAGCGTAAAACTACCCAAGAGTATGCAGTTTGGCCATCAGAATTGATTAAGGCCACTCAAAATCAAAAAGTAAAAATAATCAATGAATGTGACTACGAAGATGACTAATCAGTTCAATTTTAGCCTGGAAAGATCTTGAGCAGTGCGGACAACAGATGGAAGCAACGGCAGAGGTGGAATTTTTCAGTTTTTTTATTCTACACTGCCTCTGTTCCTATGCTGCCTGACAGGCCACTGCACCATGCTTGAGGACTGTACATCATTCAGTTCATTCTTCTGCAAATTCCTCCCATGTTTTTGCCTTAATGCCAAAATATTTAAGAGCAATTTTAAGTATCATTACAGTGTGGGTTTTTCCTGTCCACCTGGGATCTTTTTCCATACTTGAGTTCACAGTAAAATATTCTCTTTGGAAGCTGATGATCTGGCATGCTGGTAACCAGCCCAGCGAATCTGATATTTCTTCAGTAGTGAGTGGATGCTTGGCAGGTTTACTGAGAACACAGCATTTGGAATCATGTCCTGCCATTTGATTTTCAGCAATTTTCAAAGACAGGATAAATGAAACTGATTCAGCTTTTCCGCAGGGTGCTGTTACATAGTCCACATTTCACATGCATGGAGTAGAACTGGTAAAACTGTAGCCTATTAAATCCTTAGGTTTGTCTGTAAGGAGACACCATTTCGATTCCAGACACAATTAATTTTATATGTTTTTACATATTTGATGTGTATGAAGGGTTCCAGAACAGACAGGAGATAGTTGTGGCAGCACTTGAGTCGGATTTGATATTTTGATATCTGAACTCATGGAGAAAGGGGGTTTGTTCCTGACTTGTGAACAGACAGCAGCTGTCCTGCATTCATGTATAGTTGCCTTTCAAGTGGGTACTGGACCTCAGAACGATGTAATATAGCCCTGGGACTACCCTAGGATTCTGCTATTTCACTGGTGCTCTTTAACGTGTATACAAGCAATATTGCAGAACTTGAAGCACCAGGTGTTGGAAGAATACTGACATTTGCCGATGATGTTCTTGCGTATAGGCAAAGGAGTGACAGACAACGGATAGCCCAAGAGCTGCAGGCAACTGTACACAAAGTGACTGACTGGTGTGCAGAAATGGCTGCTGTCATCAACTCAGAAAAGCGGCTGTTTTGTGGTGCTCTCTGGACAATAGAAATGTAAGAGCTTATGTTCCAAGCCTCACAATTAATAACAATAACATCAAAAGAGAAATCAAACTGAGGTACCTGGGTATCACTTTCGATAGAAGCCTGTCCTATAGGGAACACATGGAGGCAGTTGCAGTGAAATGCCAAAAAGGACTCAATGCTCTCAAGATTATGGCAGCAAGGACATGGAACAAAGAATATTGTTCACAATGTTCCAGCATGTGATCCTGTCGGTGATGGATTACGGACTTGGAATGCTTACCATATCATAGAGTCAGCTGATAAAACTCAAAATCATACAGAATGAAGCCATGCAGCTAATTCTGGGAATTACAAGAGATACCCTGATAGTATGCATACAATATATACTTGCACTGCCTACTATTGCAGACAGGCTCAAAGTTCTGCAAGCAAAGTCAAATCTCAGAGTTTTCTTGTGCTCTGGGTAGAGCCAAGGGTCACAGAGCTAAGGGATGCAGGTCTTGGATGGCCCAAACTACAGACACAGTTGGACATGTGTGCAGGCTTGATAAATTTGAGCAAGGAGAGGAGTGGGTCACGGTGTACGAACAAGTTTTAGACCCATGTAGGGTTCGAATAACTTTAGGCCATGAATGAAGAGACTGGCCAGCTGGTGCTACAGAGTCAGAAGTTCAACAAATGATTCATGACAATTTCCGCCAAGGTGATGTAATTATCAATACAGATGGCTCTGTGTTGAGGGGCAGACGAAGTGCATGGGGGTTCATAGTAAAGTTGAATGGACGTTCACCTAATGCAGTAAAAGCATATGATATCACAACTTCAAGTTTGAGAATGGAAGTGGAGGCAGCCTCTGCTAAATTCTGATAGCTTGGAATCAGCTGTACACAGATGTCGTGATTGTAACTAACTCACAGAGCATGTTGAGAAAGGTAAAGACAGGCATGCTTTGTGCAGAGTGGCAAGCATTACTTCAGAGGTCACGGGTAGTTAACATCTTTTGGATATTTTCTCCAGGTCATGCTGGTATATTAAGAAATAAGCAGGCAGATAGACTAGCCGGCTCTGCACTACTTGGTGGTGAACTGATGTATGACAAGCTGGATATTGGGACGGTTCTTTAGGAACGAGTGAACAAAGCAGAAGCGCAGATACGGTCTGTGGAGAATGGCACTGCAAGGAGTTACCAGGGATGTGGCTGATGCTCAACACTCAGGATGAGACCGATATACAATCAGACGGCTACTAGTGCCATCGAAATTAGTACTCTACGCTTGTTGCTGAAGAAGGGCATGGAGCACTTATAAGATTTTCCCGAGTGCTGTGATGTCGATTCTTAATTCAACATTCAGCAGAAGTGAAATAATTATACAGAATTACATTTAATTAATCTGGATTACTAAAGCAGCTACAAGACTCAAAGTATTAGAAAATTAAGAGTAGCCATCAAGCATAAGTAAAGTAATGATAACTGCAACAGATGTACCAAATGCGAGTGCAGTAATAACTGTCTTGTAAGCTGCTTGTAAGCTACCTTTGTTAAAACTCAAACCTCCACATTAATGACCTTAGTCAATATTCTAACCTCCTCACTAATGATATAGTTCACCCTCAGACCTCCAGATTAATGTCTCTAATCAAAGTAGTAACTAGTGTGAGGTTCATGACATTCTCTTGCAATGTAATGGAGAGAACTGAAGCCCAATACAGTCTGAGCCCTATGTCTCTATTTAATATAAACCCTATGTGATGTAGAAGAGGATGAAGCCCTAATTGCTTATGACAGTAACAACTAGAATGGACACATTCAAACAACAACCATGAAATAAGCAGGGCAAATTTTATTTTAACAATAATCAGGCATGATGATAACAGGAAGGATTAGGTCTAGTGCCAGTGCAATACTTAAAAAAAAAATTGTTTTGTTATTATAAAGTTTACCACAAGACAGTGTAAGAGAGCTTTAACACTTAGACATGATGAAAACTGCAAGGGTGCCTTGAAAAATGATGAGAAGTTGTTATGTCTAAGGCTAAAAATATCCTTATTTCAATACGATTTAACGTAGTGAAAATGTTTATCTACTTTCAAATGAAACTGGAAAGAGTTAAGAATGGTAAAAGTAAGTTAGTGTAAGCAATTACACTAGTTAATAGTTTAGCAAACTGAAAAAATAATAAATGTAAAAGAAATAGTTTTCTCATAGGACATTTTTTATAGCAAACCTTTGGTATATTTTTCAGCTTTCTAGCTTCATAGCCATGTAGTAAATGCCTTTGGCGCGTTAAAAACTGATTGAACGATACAGCATCAATTCTGAAAGCCAAAAGACATTAATCAGTAACAAAAAGACAACTAATACAAGCACACTGTAGTAACAAAACAATAAACTAATAAATTTACTGAATAATTACTGCTGACAAGGGATGTGCAGTTTTATTTGAAGTTCTGAGTTTGTGAAAGGAACCTACATACTACTCTTCAAGCTGAGTTGATCTGTAATCAGTATTACTGGTTCAAGATGTGAATATACTGTTGCAACTTACAGAAGATTTCCTTGGACTTCATATTCAGGCAAGAGTAGTAAACTCAGCTGAACTCTTTCAGTCTAAGACTGGTGTAATTTAACTTTTTTTTGATGGCTTTAAAAGCCTGGACAGTTACTGGTACAATCGGAACAGCTGCTGCACTTGCTGCTGAAGATGGGAACAGAGACTTTATGGAAGTGACCTGAGTGCTGTGATGTCAATTCTAAATTCAACATTCAATGCTTTAAAAGCTGTGTTACTTTTAACTGTGAATCCTTTCACCTCAGTGACCTAAGAAAAATAACAATGCCAAAGACCTGTATTATTTGGAAATTTAAGATTTTCCTGAAAATAGTATTCCTTTAAAACAAAAATTTTAAAAACATTTTACCCAGGTCACACACAAAAATTATAACAACTCCATTTATGAACCTGTTCTAGACCCTGTGACCGGGTAGTCACTTAACACTGTAACTAATAGGAAAGTCTGATGTTCTAATGTCTAAAAAAAAAACATTTTCCACAAGGAAACTCAACCTAAATGCTATTTTTAGCAAGCATGCTTGTTACCCGTCATTCTAAAGTTGCCCAGGGAAAACAAAAGCATTCCTGTTACCCGGGCTCCTTGTAAAGAAATCTCGGCTATCTTCCAAATAGGGGTCCCAAATTATCGAGGCAAAAAATATACCCTAACAGAGCCTCAGTCATGTGTCAATTGCGCACTTCTGGCAACTAAACTTGCGCACTTCCGGCGACTTGTGCCACCGCCAAGAGTATTCCCCCATGCCGCGTGAGCGGCATGGATTGGGGATAAACAAGATGGCTGGGACTTACAGCAGCAGCTACCGCATTTCCTGCAGCTGCCTTCATTGTATTTGCTCGTGAGTCCCAGCCATCTAGTTTAGTCCCAATCCACGCTGCATGAGCTGCGTGGGGGAAACTCTCGGCGGTGGTGGTATAGTCCCCGGAAGTATGCAATTCGGCGGTGGCGGTCTAGTCCCCAGAAGTGCGCAACTGATTCGTGACTGAAGCTCTGTTAGGGTATGTTTTTTGCCTTGATAATTTGGGACCGTTATTCGGAAGATAGCCAAAATCTCTGAAGCAAGCTGGGAAAGGGACACATTTTGGGGCTGTGGTACCAACCAGAAAGTACCAGGTTTTTTGCTTCTCAGGGTATGAGGGTTAAATTCTTGTGTTTAACGGGAGTTTAATAAATAAAACCAGATGAGAGGAAGATTTCCTTAAGAGATTGGGGTAAAGTTCATGTAAGAGATGGATGACACAAAGGAGGTTAAGACAAACACATCATATATAGAGAAACCAAGAAATGCATGGCGAGTTCCTTGGTTTTGAAACAGTTATGTAATACTGACAAATTCCTAGAATGCTGGGGATCAAGAAGAACAATTACTGATAAGATCAAAATACTGAAAGAAACTGGCTTATAAACAGCATCATTTCTAGGAAACACATACTTTGGCCACATTAAATGTTAAACTAGCCCAGAAAGAACAGTAGTGGATGGGATAATTTCTGGCAAGGGTAAATCAGTATGATGGCAGACATCGGACCCTGCAGATACCCCAGGTATAAGAATACATTAGGCAGAAGAACCTACCAAGAACCATGAGTCTTTTCTGGTAGATCATAAAGGAAATATTTAGCAGAAGTCCTGCAACATAATGATGACTGATATGATTACTATTATTGGTATCAAACATTTAAAGATCCATTGACCTAAATACAGCATCACAAACATTTCTTTTTGTTTACGTTCCCCGGCTGTAAACTCCAGTGGAAAATTCTGGATGTTTGTCTACCTTTGGTCAGAACCTGAGTTTTGCATGCACATCCATTTGATAAATCTGGCTTATTTGTAAGCAGATTGTTGGTTTATTGCCTCTCAAGCAGATACACTCCCACTTTGAAGTAAGCTCCCTTAATTATTCGCATTTTACAATATGCTGGTTTGAAGGAGGAGGGGAAGGGTGGGGGGGAATAGATCTATTCCCCATCCTCGCCCCACACCAGGACCCCAGTACCCACACATCGGGAATCACAAGACACAAGATCAAACACGAAATAAGTCAGACAAACAACACAAATGTGCAATAAATAAATCCAAAATTACAAACAAAACTTACTCTGAAAATATGATAAAAAATGGCTTCAAGTAAGTTTCAAACTGCCGACAGATGTTGATTTGTTGTTTTGTCTGGATGGCTCCAGGTCTGTGGACAGGAGAAGCATTTAGCAATACTAAAGAATATTCATTAAAATACCTTCAATAACTTTTTTTTAAACGTCCCTTCTCTATGCCAAGAAGAGCAATGAGCATGCAGTGCCAGCCCATAATTTTACAGACCAATCAGCACTCCCCTCATGTTTTTCATAGACCTATCAGCTATCACCTCATATTTTTTATAGACCAATCGGCACCGACCTTATTTTTTTATATACCCCCTTCTCCCAAAGGGATGAGTTAGTAAACACCACACTGGTCATTTTTTCTTGCCAAGATATATTTATCACACATTACATGCTGGGACGACTTGTACATTTATTAAAATTTGTCTATATAAATATTCAAACACATTACCACCAGGCTAGAACACTGCCCTGGCTCTTCTGATAGGGCAACTTTTGAAGCATGTTTTTTGTTCCGAACATATTGGGGTTACCTTTCCTTTAGAGAAGCGATTCTCAACCTATCGGTCGCGACCATTTTTGGGGTCGTCGACCCTTTCATGGGGGCTGCCAAAGACCATCGTAAAACACATAATCATTGAAGTTATAAAGTAGCGACAAAAATAACTGTTATGGTAGGGGGTTGCTGCATTGCGAAGGCTGAGAATCACTACTTTAGAGTAAACCGGGCAGATCAAGAAAGGGATCGGATGATGCATGAACAACACATGATCTCTACAATACTGCCCAGGCTTTGTGCTATGGAGCTGAATTTCTTAATGTGGGCGGGTTCTACTAGTCAAGGGTTGTGATTCCTAGGTCTCCACCTAGTACAATACAACACTCTCGTCTGGAAAGATGGAAAGGTGCCGACAGCCACTAGGTCAGAAACCAAGGTTCTAGCCACAGTAACTTCCCTTCAGTAGGTCAAGTAGACATTGATCTGAAGACGATTACATCATTAGGTTTGTTCCTGTATTACTGAATGTGAATGTTCTATGTCACATAATCTTGTATATACTATACCCTAATATATGGATGATGCACTTACATGAATGTCCAGGACTTCACCTGGTATCCTACTTAGGGCTGGGTCTACCTGGGAACCAAGGTCATTTTTTTTTAAAGTCCGACTCCATTAAGATTTGAACCATGACCTTCAGATCTTCAATAAGCATATTCTTACCACTGCACCACAGGGGCTCCCACTGTCTGATAGGGAAAGAGATATAGACAGCACACCTGACTGACCTGCGAGACCTGACATACTGGATGGCTTTGTCTGTCTGTACCCTGTTGTTGTAGATCAGGTAGCAAGCTATTACCATGCCTGTTCTACCTAGTGGTCAGTAAACAGCACACATTTAAAGACCTGTGTGTATTTATTAAATTAATGTTTTCTGTTTTTCGGGTAATTCTCACTGATTTATAAAAAAAAAAAAAAACATTTGTAAATATCCACATATCAACGCCAATTAATCCTTTTTGTCACAATGACCTAAAACAAAGCATTAACCAGTATTTCAAGAATTTAACAAAGACAATCAAATACAGAGATTCAGGAAAGACTAAAAAGGAAAAGAAAATTACTAAAAAGAAAAAATAACAATTGAAATATTCTAGCAACATTAAGAGACATAAAACACTTCTCAAAACTATACTGGAGGGAAAGGTCAAAGGCAAGACAGTAAGAGGTAGGCAATGATACAAGTGGTAGGACAACATCAAGAAATGGAGGGACAGCAGTTTGAGAGGGTGTACAACCAGGATAAGAGACAGAGTGTGTTGGAGATCCATTGCTGCCAACCTTCACTATGAATAATGGTAAATTATGAAGTCATAATTATGTTTGGAAAAAAAGAATTTTTTTTGCCCCTACAAAAAACACCCAATTAAACGTTATGTCAAGCAAATATAATCCCTCCAGTTATCCTAAAAATATGTGCTTAGCTAGGCATCTCGTGAACAAACCACTATAGCAATGCCAGTAACAAATTTATCGGGGCTGGCACAAGCCATGAGTGTCAAGTTTGGTGTTTCTGGGAGCAAGAATTTTTAAACTGATGTAAAGCTCACACGTCAAGATGCAACGAAAGCTTGCAACACTTGTAAAACTGATGCCAGAAGAGATAGAGGACAGCAGCACAAGAAAATTCTCTACAGCCTAGCAGCATGGTAAAGAAAGATATCGGCATACTACCTGATACATTCTACTAAGAACATAAGTTGTAGAAAGGTATGAGTACTCATAACATCCAGAAAAGTGCCTGATGATAATATTTTTTTTTTCTTTTTCTTAAGTTGCGTATCCTTTACAGGACGTTGCAGAACCAACCCTCAGCCCCTGGCTGTTGTGTGGTTTCTCTAGGCAATTTACATCCAGTAGTTTGCCATTGCTTTCTGGACGGTCGGCTTTCTTGATACCACTGTCGAAACCAACGCAAGGCGCATTGCCCGCAGCTGGGATCGAACCTGGCATCCCGGCATTACGAAGCGAAGCGTTCGCATCGACTTAGCCACAGAGCCAACGATGTTAATATTAACAGTATAATTTAAAAAAAAAAACTACATTAGGCAAAGGAAAGAAAGCAAAAAACACTGTAGTAATATGAAACCATATTAGTTTAAGAATACGCAAACCATACAACAATGTACATATTATCATTTCATCAGGTATTATAACTTGCATCCATCGTTAATTGTTTTGGTATCATGAAACTCGTCATATAGTTCATTAGTAAGTCCAAAGAGGATACACATATCTGACTCTCCTTTTATTGCAGATATTTGTTAGCTTAAATCATTCATCTAAATTGTTATTTTTTTTACTCTTCTCATAGTGTTATTATTTGAACTTCTTTGGAAACTAATTACTTTAAATTGGAATTTCTCAGCCTTTAAAAAGTTAAAAATTATTGGACCCTTTGTAAGTAACGGATCCAGTGGGTCCTTTCATGCCAGGGGTGCATCATACTCTGACACCAAAAGTAATTATCAAACAAGAACTGTTAGTTTAACTCTTTCCGCGCCAAGGAACGCATACTAAACGTTTACAGATTCCTACCCAGAAGCCGAATGAACGCAAGATGTGCTGATTTTACATTTCTTTTTACCATTCCTTGGGCCTCTGATGCTAAGCCCCCAGAGACTTAATGAGTTAATAACCTCGTCAGCAAATCAAAAAGTGAAAAAAAAAAAAACTGAATGGGCTCCATTTTCAAAAACCTTAAATGCTACAACCATACCTTAAAGACAGTTTAAACCCCCAAAAGACAAAATGTTACAATCATACCTTGAATTTTACAACAGCCTTGAATTTTACTATAGCCTTGAATTTTACAATAACACTTTTGTCATTACTGAATTCGATTCCACCTTCAAAGGAATGACAGAACCCCGTATTGCTAGAGTTACAGAGTTCATGCTTTATGCACTGAACTTACAAGTGATAAGCTGCTCAAAATACACTAGCTGAGCCATTTGGAATTAAACCAATCAAGAAGTCAATTCTCTTGTCTTTTAACACCATTTTAATAGCTGAAATTCAATAGTTTACCATTACAGCTTAATTAATATTTCTAAACTTAATACAGGCCCCAGAATAGTCTATTTATGAACCAAAAAATTAAACTTAATTTCCCTATTCTGAAATATAAGTTCACTCGAGGTACATCTGCCCAAGAGGCAGAGAACATTGTACTGCACAAACACAAGCAAGTAAAATGGATGTACATGCAAAACTCTGGCCCTGGGTCAAAGTAAAAATTGACGATCAACCAGGATATTCCACCAGACTGCGCAGCCAGTGAACGCAAACAAACAATACTCTACCCCCCCAAAAAAACATAAAGAATTTACCTAGTCCTGCATGACAGTGGACAGTGACCTTGCCCTGTGAGACAGCAAACTGCATGACCTTCACAATGTCCAAAAGTGTTGCCATTCCAGCCACGCCATAATCTTGGCTGTCAAATAATACATAATTAACATGATAATATGTAATACCAAGTTATGTATTTTCAATACCAGTTTACTTCAATTTGAACAAATGCAAGTGAAAGCTGGAGAACCACTAAAGACAGGGAATGACAGTTGAATGCATTCAAAAACAAATGTCTGAGGAAAATGATGAAAATAAAATGGGATACATTAAAAAGGAGTGAAGAAATAAGATAAATATTGTGGCAAACACTAGTATCAACAGTTATAAAACAGAGAAGATGGTGCTGTACAAGACACATCCTGGGAAGAAACCACAGAGAATCACCAAACAGGCATTAGAATGGGAAATAGATTAACAAGGCGAGGACATGCAAAAGAAACCCTGAGATGAACACTGATGAGATAGACCAAAGGTGCTGGACCGGATTCCATCCATGATATTGAACAGACTGCACAGGATAAAATGGAATGGAGGAACAGACTGCATGCTCTAAGTGACATATAATGACACAACAGAATAATGGATGAATGAATGTGTAATATAATAAGTCACATTGCCCCAATAACAAACAGGTTTGAGGTGAGTTGAGTTGAGTAAAAAAGGGATGAAACTTGGGACATTCCCATACATGCTCCATCACCATCTTCAGCAGCTGGCAAAGAGTCCCACTTTCAATGGTATTTGTTATAGTTTGCTTTTATGTCTGTTTTGCCTTTCCTCTAAGTGCAGAGTGGTGACCACAGCCTCTCTTCACTCCCAGCCACACCATTCTCTCCCCATAGTAATGATCTATTGGCATTTTATCATTGTTCTCTTGCTCCTCAACAACCTTGACCACATGTAGCTTGTCTAGCTTCAGGTCACCTCCCAGTGGTGCAGCACCAGCCGATAGCTAACAAGCGGAAAACAACAACAATTTAACGACTAATAAACAATTGAAATACGATTCCTGCAAAGGGCTCTCCATAAAACAAGAAAAGAAAAGATCAGAAATTATGAAATCCAAAGGAGAACAGGAGTAGCAGCAGCTCTGGATTCATTAGAAGACACCAGGTGGAATGGTTTGGCCATTTCACGCGAATGTCAGCAGACAGTATACCACAAACCAGGTGGGAAGCGAAAAAGAGCCAATGGACAACAAACAATGGACAGAGGGAATTACAGAATCCCCATTTACGAAGCGTACAAACAGGTGTTTCCCCTAAATTATACATCACCTCAACACCACAAGGTACCAGAAGATCAAGATGAAATGATCATACAGATTTTTTAAACTTCAATAAGTTCAAAGATTAAAAAATTTTTTTTTAATCTTCTAAGCATTCATTGGCTGTATAAGGTGGTGGAAATATCTGGTTGTTCATCCACTTTTGAACTTTGGTCTAGTTAAAAAACTTGAGTTTTGTGTGCACATCCGTTTTACAGATCAAGCTTTTTATAGACCGACTGATTGTTCATTGCATTTCAGGCAGATGTACTCAACTTCGAAGGAATCACCCCTTAATTCCTTAATTACTTGCATTTTATGACATGCTTGTTGGTGAGTGGGGTTTGGGAGTGGTTTTATCCCCTCCCCCCCCCCCCCCCCCCCCCTCACACACACACACACATGGTGCCTGTAATAAAAACAGAAGCTGTGTTGGAATAGTGACAAGCGCACTTGCATATTATCACAAGGTATTTTTCAACATGAATGACAGATTTTTTAAAAACTTTATATTAACTAGGTTTTACTGCATATGTTCTCAGCACTACTTTATGGTAAAGAATAAATAAGCAGCAAACACACACAACAATTAACGCTCTTAGCACGGACGGGCCGATTATCGGCCGGCGGATGTCTGGCCAAAAACACGGAACGGCCGATGATCGGCCCGATCATGTTTCGCCTCGAACCACTAAGAAATCTCCTACTTTGAAACACTGAAAGTGATTCATTTATATTAACTGCGGTATCAGCTTTACACATGGCGACTTTCGAGTGTTTGGTTGTTTGACTCGTATGTTTCTGCCCCTAAACTTGATGTTGATATAACATTTGAATCAAGTGATGACACTAATTCTGTTGATACTGATGCAGGATTTGGTGTTAGTAGTAATAGTGGGAATCAGATGGGGACGCTGTTGTGCTCAGACCACAGCCCAACCATGGCTCAGGGTATATCCACCCGAAGGTGTTGACACTCCCGCACATCCATTTCTTGTGCTGACTGATGGTGAAAAACACATGTCACCTAAAGATATTATTGCTGTTTCACATATATATACCTGTTTTTGACTATTGAATTGCTTACAACATTTGTAAAAAGGCCAAAGATCAATAAAAAGATTTCAAATGAAAAAAATTTTTTGGTTTTAGTTTTATGTTTCAAGCATTGAAGTTGAAAATTAAAATTCATATTTTCTATTTTTAGATATGCAAATGAGATAATTTGCATATACATCAATTAATTTTAACGATATTGTGAAAATCACGAACTTCAATCTATATCCTTCAAATAGATATATTATTTCATAGGGGTCAGAATAACAGAAATCTGTCAAAAAAATTAAATAAAGCAATAACCAAATTCACTGAAAAAATGCTCCGTGTTTTTGGCTAGACCTCTGAAAAACTTCCTGTGCTAAAAGGGTTAACAAATGCAGTTTGGTACAGTATAACTGCATAAATCCTCATTATACAGTAAAATACATCAGTAATTTCAATTTACATTTGATAATAATAATGTAATAAATATGTGTAAAGAAACAACATAATAATTTAATGCAGAATTTACTATCCAAACAATCAAGAAATTATACAGAAACATATTTGTTCTCACAGTATACTTACATTGTAAAGTTGTAAAAGAACACTGAAAAAAATATAAAGAAAATATTTAAATAATATAAAAGTTTCAAAACACTGGCTAAAAACAAGCCTGTTCTTAAATTACTAGTTTTTTTCATTACATTTCAACTGAAAATAATGCTTAGTTTCTAACTCATTAAATCAGAATCAAATGCTTTTTAAATCAATTCAGCAAACAATAACAGAAATGAAGATTAATCATTAATGATAACAAATTCATGGTCATGTGAAATACTGCAATGCTTTAGAAAGAAACAGTACAGGATGCCTTGGATCTTGGAAGAAAATGCAGAAGTCCGATGGAGAAGTCAGCCAGCACGTAGAAGATTACAGGATATTGTAGACACAAAAACACATTCATCAGGGGAAGTAACATGCATGCACATACAGACAGAAATACACACATACATACATAAGTTGTGCAACCTATTTTTGTGTCTTCTTTGTTTATATCACAACAAGAAATATTAGGCAAAAGATTAAACAATAAAACAAATAACACATCAGTTTTAAAACAAATAAAGAAATGAAGCAAAGAAATATGAACTCACATCCAGCATCCATAAGTGTCTGTGGGTTATAAGAAAAGCCACTGCTGTGATTGCCGAAGCCACAATAAGCGTGTTCCCCAGGCTGTTGTAGGTTGATGATTGTCTTCACCTGGAGACTGTTACACAAAAAGAATGTTAACATTCATTAATACTGGGTCATTACACAAATAGAATATTAACCTTTACTAATTCTGGGCTGTTATACAAATTAAAAATTTTTTACACCCACTCATTCTTGGCAGTTACACAAATGTAATGTTAACATTCCCTCATGGTGGGCTATTAAAGCCAATATAATGTTAACATTAATTCATTATGTACTGAAATGCTCACTACACTTTCATGTGTTACACCTTTTCTGATTTAAAGGCAACCTTGTGGCAGATATTGCCAGAAGGATGTGAATTGCTAAGAATTTACACATACTAGATTTAGATTGTAACACAATGAAGCTGGACAATTATTTGCCCTTCTCAATATCCTTTTGTCAAAAATAATTGCAGAAAAATAAATCAACAATATAGAGTATCCATTTTACAAAGGTTGGGCTGATCCAGTACATATAGAAAAAAGATATTTATGAGATTCATGACTGATGACCCCCAAAAAAAAACTGGACCATATAGATACGTTTCCCAAAGTGTGTGCTATCCCCCCACCCCCTGGGGGTTGTAGCAGCCTCGATCAAATTTGGTGGGACAGTCCAGGGGGGAGGGGGGGGGGGGGGGGGGGGGTAAGCAACCTCAGGTACAGTTGGGAGGCACTGAATGAAAATATGACAGCCGTGGTTAAAGACAGAGGTAGAGCAAGCGACAAAGAGAGAGGGAGAGAAAGAGGGAGAGAGAGAGAGAGCAAAGTGGGAGAGAAAACGTTCTGATCAACTGTGGATAGCTTTCTTAATGTAGCCTTAAGTTAGTTGCAGATCCTTTACAGGAGGTTCCAGAAGCAACCCCAGCACTGTTTGGCCGTTGCGGTTTATTTAGGCACATTTATCATTCAATAGTGTTTCACCGCTTCTTGGTAATACTGTCAAAACCAATGAAAGACGTTCTGCTGCCAAATCATCTGCAATCTGCAACTGGGATGAAACTCGGCATTGCAAAGCACAATCGCACTGCTAAGCCACAGATGCCGACTTAACTTATGTAGTGTAATAGATTCAAACCGCAATGAGAGCCTTTTCTTCTTTCTTTCTTGTGACATCTCACTGACACTAAGTTGTAGCCCAGTGATGTGGTTTTTCTGTACTTATCTTTCACTGATACCAGGTTGTGGCCCAGAGATGTAGTTTTCTGTATTTATCTTTCACTGATACCAGGTTGTGGCCCAGAGATGTGATTTTCTGTATTTATCTTTCACTGATACCAGGTTGTGGCCCAGAGATGTGGTTTTCTGTATTTATCTTTCACTGATACCAGGTTGTAGACCAGTGATGTAGTTTTCTGTATTTATCTTTCACTGATACCAGGTTGTGGCCCAGAGATGTGATTTTCTGTATTTATCTTTCACTGATACCAGGTTGTGGCCCAGAGATGTGGTTTTCTGAATTTATCTTTCACTGATACCAGGTTGTAGCCCAGTGATGTGGTTTTCTGTATTTATCTTTCACTGATACCAGGTTGTAGCCCAGTGATGTAGTTTTCTGTTTTTATCTTTCACTGATACCAGGTTGTAGCCCAGTGATGTGGTTTTCTGTATTTATCTTTCACTGATACCAGGTTGTAGCCCAGTGATGTGGTTTTTCTGTACTTATCTTTCACTGATACCAGGTTGTAGCCCAGTGATGTGGTTTTTCTGTACTTATCTTTCACTGATATCAGGTTGTAGCCCAGTGATGTGGTTTTTCTGTGTTTATCTTGCGCTCCTCAGGTGGCTATTAGTGATGGATCTATTAATCTGTTGTTGGCGTTTCAGCTGCACCACCATATATTCATCGCTTTCTTGGTTTTCCCCTCATCTTTCCTTCAGATATTCTGAGATTTAAAATCAAAATTTCATATTCAGTTTACTTTTGCTGCATTTTCATTTGATGGCCAATAATTTCTGTATCTATCTTGTGCTTCTCAGGTGGCGTAGGTGACAGAAAAAAAAAAAAAATCCCATATGCAGTTTGGCCTGGCTCCGTTCTTACTCGATGGCTGAACAATTTCTTTCTTTGTCCGTCAATATAATCAGTCCAGTGTACAATAGCAAATGACAACTTATCACTGAAAGGCGAGAAAAGTTTGGGAAACACATATAGACTATCTTCTTCTTTTTCCGTTGTCGCCTCACTGATGCCGTAGAGTCAAGGTTATCTGTATTTGTCTTGTGCTTCTCTGCTGGTTTACTGATGAATCTGTTAATCTTTTTGCAGGTTTTAGCTACACCATTTACATCTCTTTCTTAGTCCTAATCTCACATTCTCCGCAGATGTTCTGTTGTAGAAGAAAATATCTCATATGCAGTTGGTCTAGCTGCATTCTCACTAAATGGTCAAATCATTTCATTCTGTCTGTCAATATCACTCAGGAACAGTCTTTTTCCAACTTTCTCTCTAATGCTGGTATTCCTAACCCTGTTTCTCCTTGTGATAAAGACTATCATGCTTCAAAAACTGAAATATATCTGGCCATATCAAATGGCATAGTGGTTTCGAAAGAAGTCAGTTGAGACAAACTGTAAACGTTAATGTCGGTCAAAGCACCATTCGCAGACGTTCGTACATAAATTTTCACTGACTACTTTACGTCCTTAGTCAGAATCGCTTCTACTTCTGCTCATCGCAGAGCCTGTGTTGCTCGGTATTGCGAACACATCTGATAAACAAGGTAACAATGGAGTCGAGTCATCTTCAAAGATGAATCTCGCTTTACTGTGTCATTCAATAATGGACAGGGTTCGAGTTTAGAGATGACCAGGAGCACAATTTACTGATTACACAACCTGAGAGGTGGATCATCATAGTAGAAGTTCTGTCATGGTCAGGGAAGGGTTTTACAGACACTGCAGGACCCCACTGTACATCATCCAAGGCAACTTGACCTACCCAAGATACCAGAATGACATCTTGAGACCGACTGTCCAGCCTGCTTTAAGGCCACAGGTTAGTTAATTAGTTAATCGACAAATTATCTTCTGTGCACACTAGACAAGTCCATAAGCGCTCAGATACCATCTTCAGTATATCCAGCATGTGGCGACTGATAATATCAGTTCTGTGTTGGTTTACTATTCTTCTTTGGCTATCTGTATAGTGTTCTTGTTTAGCAACACCTTTTTTGACCTGAAGTTCTTGTAGTCTTTTGAGGGTTGCTGATTCAACGTCCTCTCCTGAATCATCTTTTCGTCCTGCCTGTTTGAGAGCACTGACAGTGGCGGCCCGGTCCATTGCTTTTCCTGTACCTACCATGGCCCTTCCAACAAGCCAATTTCCTTGCTAAATCCCTCTTACCCCAGAGTGTCTTGGCACAAAAATGAAACAAATGACACGAATTCCTTTCAGACGAGATTTCCTCAGTGACTTCAACCATTTTCTATGAATCCATCACTTTTTGTTGTCTGAAGCATGCTCATGGAATCACTTAGAAAGCAAGCATGGGGAAAATGCTGTGTCTCTAGCCACATCACTGCTTTTTTTTGCTGCCATCACATCCATAGTCAGACTACTTGTAGTTGAGGCAAAAGCACTGCTATCTTCTTTTACAGTTTTCTCTCAAATCAGAACCTTGAAAGCTCATGAACTTTGTATGTGTCAAATGACGGATTTACCAGTGTAGATAACAGCACCTCTGTCAGCAGAATTTTCAAGAATTAAGGCTTGAACCTCTGCCGCAACCACCAACGGGCCTTGTTATCTGCAATCTATATCAAGTTTTATGCAGTCTGAAAGAATGTACACCACTCTGTTGGCACTCATACCAATTCCTCATTAGGTTCTATGACCTCAGTTGAAAAAAAAAACTTATTGAGTAATATCCTCAGCCTGACCAACCCAGGATTTTCCTCTTTTTAACCTGCTACCCTTCTTCCTGCAAATCTCACTGTGCATTGGATGGTGTATCAGCACTGATATGCAGATATGCACACGGTCAGGTGATTCCTTTAACTTCCATTTGTTAAAAGACCAAGTAGCTAAAGCCGACTGACAGCTGGTGTTTGTGTGAGTTTATAACATGGTCACAAGTGGTAATACCATCCTCAAAGATGGTAGCTTGACCCAATCAATATCCTTGGTGAATTAATTAATTTCACAACATGGGATTATCAACCTCCCCATCATACAGGAGTGGTCTGGACGCCTAGCCATTTTTGAGAAGATTAAAAAAATAGAAAACTCAAGAGATTCTTATAAAAATCTCTTTGCAGCTTAAAATGTAGAGAAAAAAAAAAAACACTAAATGGGGCCAATGCACCAGCATAGTTTCCAAAATTATCAGTCTGCCCACACACAAAATGTATATAATGAGTAATTCTGATATATATATACATATGTATCCATGTTGGTTTATGAGTTTCATGCATCCTGCTAAAATTATCTCTGGGTTATGTAAGAGAGGAGCCTATAGCACTTCTGGAAGTATCCATGTGCAACGAAAGTGAATCCTTTACAAACCAAACTTCTCTTTCTTTGTACTCACCTGTTATAAACTCTGATAGAAAATTCATGTTTGCCTCTCCACTTATGGACTTTGACCCGGTTCCTAGACTCAAGCGTTGCATGCAGATCCATTTTACAAATAACAAACAATAGCCAACCATGATAACAATAAATTAAATGCTACACTAAATGTTGTTATAGAAATCAACACGTTATAACATATACATTTATTAGGAAGGACTTACTCTTGCAACTGCTTAATCATATTGAAGTGTTTGATATTATCGCTGGACATCCTAGCCATGGCCATGATGTTACAGGTGACCCTATATAAACATCAAGACAGGACACATTGAAAAAAAAAACTGATGTGAAAAGAAATCACGAAACAGGCAATTATTTAACAACTGTGTTTAAGGGTTGAAAATGGAGAAGACTGACCACACTACACCAGGTTTAATGCCATACAGCTCAGTCTCTCTCCATAACATGGCTAGCTGCCTGTCAAGAGCAACACACAAAGCACGAACACCGTTGCTCCAATGATGATTCCCCAGGGTCTCTGTAAAAATTATACCCAATGAGGCAGCTGTGAAAAGAACCCATGACCTTCAGAGCACAAGGTAAATGATTTGACCACTCTGTCATGGATACCCCATAACCACTGTGTATGCAAGTCAACCTCTTTTTCTAGTTACTGTAGCAAACTGTTGGAGGAAGATGTCAGGATCTCATGTGTGATCTTTCTAATGTGCTGTTGGAGATGTCAGGATCTCTTGTGTGATCTTTCTAAAGTGCTGTTGGAGATGTCAGGATCTCTTTGTGATCTTTCTAAAGTGCTGTTGGAGATGTAAGGATCTCTGGTGTGATCTTTCTAAAGTGCTGTTGGAGATGTCAGGATCTCATGTGTGATCTTTCTAAAGTGCTGTTGGAGATGTCAGGATCTTATGTGTGATCTTTCTAATGTGCTGTTGGAGATGTCAGGATCTCATGTGTGATCTTTCTAATGTGCTGTTGGAGATGTCAGGATCTCATGTGTGATCTTTCTAATGTGCTTTTGAAGATGTCAGGTTCTCTTGTGGGATCTTTCTAATGTGCTGTAAGAGATGTCCGGATCTCATGTGTGATCTTTCTAATGTGCTGTTGGAGATGTCAGGATCTCTTGTGTGATCTTTCTAAAGTGCTGTTGGAGATGTCAGGATCTCATGTGTGATCTTTCTAATGTGCTGTTGGAGATGTCAGGATCTCTGGTGTGATCTTTCTAAAGTGCTGTTGGAGATGTCAGGATCTCATGTGTGATCTTTCTAAAGTGCTGTTGGAGATGTCAGGATCTCATGTGTGATCTTTCTAATGTGCTGTTGGAGATGTCAGGATCTCATGTGTGATCTTTCTAATGTGCTTTTGAAGATGTCAGGATCTCTTGTGTGATCTTTCTAAAGTGCTGTTGGAGATGTAAGGATCTCTGGTGTGATCTTACTAAAGTGCTGTTGGAGATGTAAGGATCTCTGGTGTAATCTTTCTAAAGTGTTGTTAGAGATGTAAGGATCTCTTGTGTGATCTTTCTAAAGTGCTGTTGGAGATGTCAGGATCTCTTTGTGATCTTTCTAAAGTGCTGTTGGAGATGTCAGAATGTCTTTTGTGATCTTTCTAATGTGCTGTTGGAGATGTCAGGATCTCTTATGTGATCTTTCTAATGTGCTGTTGGAGATGTCAGGATCTCTTATGTGATCTTTCTAATGTGCAGTTTAAGTTGGACTTTATTCCTCTAAGGGGCTTTTATCTTCTGTGTGGTAATTGTTATGCTCTGTGCTCATTATATTTCTTTAATATAGCCATTCTATGGTATCTGGTATCCGGACATTCTTGTCAGATGGCCAAATAATTTCACCTGTTGCATTTTATGAGGCGCATTTTATAAGTCATGGTATTAACTTAAAAAAAAACACACAAAAAAACATAATACATAAGGATGATTTATTGCAGCCAAAAGTGAACTACACATTGACATTATTTCGCAACTTAGTCACCATTGACTTCAACAGATTTCTGGTATTGTGGCAGCAGTTGCTTAATTCTAAGTATCATAGAAGTCTGCCGCCAGTGTCTTGAACCATTCATTAACACCTGTCTGCAGTTCATCCTCAGTTTCAAACTGCTGGGATGCCAGCCACTACTTTATATGCATGAAAAGGTGATAATCACTTGGCACCACATCAGGGCTGCAGGCCAAGTGGTCAAAAATGTCCCAGTAAAATTTTTGCAACAACTAAACTGTTTGAACTGCGACGTGGGGTCGATCATTATTGTACAAAAGCACAATTCCAGAGGACATCAACCCACGAGGACGATGAGTGTCGCCATTGCATCGACTGTTGCTTTGATTTGAGTTTTGTGTAGGAAATCCATTTCTCAACTCCAGTAACAATGTGTCTCCAAATCCCAAATTCATCTCCTTTATTTTGATAAATAAATAATTTTTATGTTGTCTAGTGTGTTCTTCTATCTTTCTACTTCTTTCCATGAGTGCCGATCAATACATTTTCTGTTACTTGAATAATTCATATTTAATGGCCTCAAAAGTTCCCCCTCTGTTTATTTATAGGAATGACGTATACACAGCGGAACCTACCAATCAAAAACCTTTCTTAAATGTTTGTGTACTCTAGACAAAACATTAAGGTCTACTGTGTTTGTAAATTGTTGCTGTGATTGTTATTTGACATATGCTTTGTTAATATAAATTTCTGTAACCCTATGGTGCCATTTCAATGGTTTGAAATGAATTCTGTCCGTATTCCATAGTTGTGGATTTCAAGCTGTACGATAGACATGGCCAATAAGTTACCTTTTTTTGGGGGGTGCCTAGTTGACCATGTTCTTAGTGCACATGTATCCATGGTGAGGTGCACACGCCGTCTGGAGGGGGCAGGTTCAATTCCCAGCATGGTAACTATAGCTTTCGATTTTTATGTTGTCTAATGTGTTCTTCTATCTTTCTACTTCTTTCCATGAGTGCCGATCAATACACTTTCTGTTACTTAATTCTTTATTTTGATAGCGCTGCACAAATTTTTTAGCCAAAGCCAGGCGTTTCTACTTGTGTTAATCTTTTAACACTTTCAGTACCCGTTTGACAAACAATTTTTTGTATCCAATGTTTCTTGTCACAATGGCATAAATCAGTGAACGCGAAAGTTTCGAAAATTCAACAGACAGCGCGGAAGTTTAAATTAACAATTTTCCTGAACTGATTGTTTCACTTCTTAGATCAAATCATCTGTCACCACACTCAGCCCACCACTATGGTCTCCATCATGCATATTTGTTCGCCCTTCTTTAAACATTCAACACCATTTCCTAACCATACTGTCAGTCACAACATCCGGCCCATAAACCTTAATGAGTTGCCTGTGAATGTCTGCAGCACTGTTGTTTTTGTTTTGTTTTTTTGCTTAGAAAAATTGGATCATCACAACTGGCTGGAGTGTTTATTTTTGCACTCATTATAAATTACTCACACACAGCATCAATCAAGATTTTGACAGTGAAAAAATAGCACACAGCTAGATAATAAACCAATTAAACATACTGCATATGCACAATTTCGTTTTAGATCAGTGTTTGTTGGTGAGGTCAAAACAGGACCTATTTTAAAAAAAGCGCCTTGTAATAAACTGTATGGTTGGCATTTTTCCTTGTGTTCTGATTTCTTTTTTTTTCCTCTGCTACTCTGGCAGCTCTTCTAAGACACTGCATCTTTGCTGATAATGTATCCATAGTATTAAGGGTACATTAATGACATTAGTATAATGTCAACCAAAAAATATTTGTTACTGGATTATCCTATATTCTGTTAAATTCTGTGTTTTATTTGAAATATATAGCATTTATTACCAGGTAGCCGATTTTTTTTCTTCTTGATTATTATACAAAATGAAACTTACATTCCCCAGCTTATCCACAAGGTTTTTCCTTATTATCTCTTTAAGTCCCAGATATATTTCTTTAACACTGACTCCAGGATTGTGTTAGAGTTAAGTAATTAAAATTAAACAATCATGGGATAGAAACAGTTAACCATCATACATTCATAGGTTCCTACCTAGAAGCCCAATAAATGCATAATGCGCCAATTTCATGTCTCTTTTGAATACCCTTTGGGTCTCTGATGCTAAACCCCCTGGGACTCAAATAGTTAAGAAACACCTAATATAATAACAATTCAAATAAAGTTAGTTGTGTAGCCTTTACATCAGGCATGTCAAAATGACCGTCCACTGAGGGCCATATGGGTCACATTTTGTTGCCGTGAGGGTCACAAACAACTAATTGGAGTCATCTAATAAAAATTACTGCAGAATATTTCCTTTGTGCTAGCCACATGTGTGCTTGCGAAGGGCCACCAGTTTGATATGCCTGCTGTAAATAACATTACAGAACCAGTCCTAGCCTTTGTTTGATGTTTTGTGACTTTACTATGCAATTTTACATTCAGTAGTTTGCTACTACTTTTTGAACGGTCAGCTCACGGTACCACTGGCAGAATCAACGCAAAGCAATCAGCTGCCAAACTGCCTGCCTCTGGAATCAAACCAGGTTTCTCAGAATTATGAAGCACATTCACAATGCCTTAGTCATAGAGGCCGACAACATGAACACAGAAATCAATAAAAGCAGTGATCGTCTTTGTATTGAAAGAGTTCATGGGATATTTATGGATGTGATTTTGTTATTTAAACTTTAGTCCATTTTTGCAGTATCTGACTCATACATTAATATTTCTGAAACTATCTACAACCATTTTTTCTTCTTATTGCCAACATTTGTGTCATGTTTTGATGTATATCCTATGTTGTTAATTATTAAGAGAACTATGCGATGGAAGACTTATGGTATTAATTTTACATGTGTTATTTTATAATAAAAGATATGGTGAGTCAAGATACACTTGCTACTTCAGCAAGATGCTGTCATAATCTGGAGGTCACAGGTTTGTATGCTGATGTGTCTGTGACCCTTAATGTTTTCTGCTGTCTAGCGTATGCTTTACGGTTTGTACCGTTTTTCTTTTGCCTTCTACGAGTGCAGTGAACATCTTCTTCTTCTCTTCTTCTGTCCTTTATCACCCAGTGGAGCTTAGGTTCTCAACCAATTCGCACCAAGTCATCCTCCCTTTGCCATCGCAGGACAGCTCACTCTTTTTCATTTAATTATAACTGCCCCTGAAATAAATTTAATATATTTGCATGCACATAAGTAATCTTCATTTTCCCTTTACATGTGATTTTGTACAATAACAATGACTGTATCCTACTGCTTTTCAATACCTCATGATCTCTAACATAATCAGAACACTTCTGACACTTTTTGGTGCCATTAAAAAGATGGTAAAGAGCCTGTGCACTGTGCTGAGCTTTTTTGGGCTCTGACTTGAGTTAGAAGAACGGAGCACTAATGGGTTACTACCCATGTACCATGATGTTGATCTGTTGTTCAAACCTCAAATCCTCAAACATTAAGATTATTCATTTTGGTTGTCCGAGGAATTTTTTAAGTATTCTTCTGTAGAAACAACTCTGGTTCTACATGAGATTTAAAAAAAAAAACATTTTATTGTCTGTTAATTATAAAGAATTCTCAGCATTTTGTAAAAACTCATTCTATGAAACAGGCCAAAATTTACTTTGAAAATAAAAATAAAAAACTACAAGATTCTCCCTTTTCTTATTGTCTAAACAAAGTAACAAGAACATACCACTCTGAGTAAAGTCCATCCACAACCATCTGTTCTTTCTTCCAACCAACTGATGAACAATACTTGCAACTTTTGCCTCCACAAAACATCTTGCACAAATTCTCAGATGGAATCATCTTTCGTGCTTGTTCACTGACAGCTGAATATTTAGTTCGTGGTTTCTCAACTGTACAAATTTGAAACAGTGTGAAAATTTTGTTAGACACATTTGTTTAAACTGATATAAACGTTTCTGTGAGGCAGGGAAAACTTGTAGAATTATTCAGACTGTATCAGATTTTCTCTCTTTGTTACATCCACAATAAGCTGCAATGCATTACAAAGGGTCAATTTAATTATGTTTAAAATTGTGCACAAAAACATTTCTATAAGGCTCTTTTTTTTTTTTCATTTGGCTATATATTGAATGCTAACAAAACAAACAAAAAAAAGACAAATTAAAACAATAAATTACTAACTGAAGTCTGCAGCCTTTGTCAGACTGCAAGAGAAGCAAGTTATGAGTTATGATTTAGGTTATCTTCACAGCACAGGACACGTCCATAGGTGCCCAGATTCCCTCTTCAACATATACATCAGCGTCCTGAGGTTGATAGTCCCAGTCCTATGTTGGCTGACAAGACTTTCTATGTGTCTGGTGTGCTTCTCATGCTTGGCTGTGTTGATCTTTCCTCTCAATTCTTGCACTCTTAGCAAAGATGTGAAAGTGCTGCTTGCAAAATCCTCTGAACATCCCTCCTCTCTAATGGCATTAACAATGTCGACATGATCCATGGGCTGGCACTCTGCAACAAAGACAGAGCCGGCTAACCTGTAGCTATTTCATTGCCAACAACACCCGCATGCCCTGGTAAAAAGATGAAGGTAACTCCACGCACAGTGGAGTTTTGCAATGACTCAATCCACTGTCAGTACAAAACTGCCTTGACCTGCGGGATCATGCTCATGGAATCACTCAGCACACACGTGAGAATAGCCCTGCAATGCTTGCCACATGAAAGATCATGTCATCACCATCACCTCCACAGTCATGCTGCTAGTGATCATACAAAAGGCACAACTGGCCTCCTGGACTGTTCTGCCTGCACAGCACACTGTAAATGCCTGTGCACTTTTTGTTAGCAAGAAAAGCAAGTCAAAAGAGATGAAGTCAGACAGGAGTTCTATGTACAGCCTCAAAGAAGAATAAGAAACTAACACTGAACTGGTACTGTATTTAATTTCTAAATCTAAAATTTTAATTATCATGACCCTATGATGGAAAATATGAATCTTAAATCCAAAGAGTAATCAGTATATGGTTTGGATAAATGATTCAGAGGTTGAATTCTTACCAGCCCAGGACTACAGGTTACATAGGGCTGGTGTAACCATTACAGGTGTCGAAATTATAACTTCTGTGGAGGTTGAACAGGGTATCTTGGATCTAAGATATTTTAAATCTCAGGATGTCTAACTTTCTAGTAGCAGCCTAGAAGGGAAAAACAGAGAGAGGGAAGACAGGTTTGGACAACATTCAACTCAGAAGGGAAAAACAGAGAGAGAGAGGGAAGACAGGTTCGGACAACATTCAACACAGAAGGGAAAAACAGAGAGAGGGAAGACAAGTTTGGACAACATTCAACTCAGAAGGGAAAAACAGAGAGAGGGAACACAGGTTCAGACAACATTCAACACAGAAGGGAAAAACAGAGAAAGGGAAGACAGGTTTGGACAACATTTAACACAGAAGGGAAAAACAGAGAGAGGGAGGACAGGTTTGGACAACATGTAACACAAAAGGAAAAAACAGAGAGAGAGAAGACAGGTTTGGACAACATTTAACACAGAAGGGAAAAACAGAGAGAGGGAGGACAGGTTTGAACAACATTCAACACAGAAGGGAAAAACAGAGAGAGGGAACACAGGTTCAGACAACATTCAACACAGAAGGGAAAAACAGAGAGAGGGAAGACAGGTTTGGGCAACATTCAACACAGAAGGGAAAACATAGGAGGCTTTTAATCAGGTTGTAGCTGTCATTCTCAGCATGGCCATTTGTTGGCTACTTGAGAATTAGACAGATATCACATATGGTATGCCATACATTTCAAATTCATTAAGCCATTTCTATACACATTTTCATGTTGTAACTGATTAGTGAAAAATTATTTGGAAGCTGTGGAGATGTGGTTTTATAGATGAATGATGAGAATATACTGTATAGGAAAAAAAAAGTACAGTATTGAAGACGTCTTGAAAGAAACTGACTCATGAAGAAAGCTGACTACTACATCAGAAAGAGACAATCAACATTTCTTTGGTCATATCATGAGAAGAAGAAAACTGGGGTACATTGTGACAGTGGGAAATTTGGAGGGGAAGAGAGGAATCTGGTAATCTGGTAATCCTAGTTTCAGCTTCATAGCAAACGGGTCACCCCACATATGCTCCGCTCCTGTGCCAACGAAAAACAAACGCAGCTCACAGTGTCACGCCATGCACTCAACTCAGAAGCTGGGCGACGAAACTACATCCTTCCAGTCTACAAATGGAGCAAAAATGCAACGGCCAAAGTCTGGAAAAAAAATTAAAAAAAATATTTGCCACGGCTTTAAAAAAAAAAAAAAAAAGGGTGGCCATACCTAGCGTCCATTTTGACCGGAAGAATTATATGAGGGTTAATAAACGGTCACCCCAGCAGTACCCTCATTATTAGCTGGGGAAGGGACTTAGGACATTACATCCACCAGCAGGCGTCGCCCCTACAACGACCTGCCTGCCATCGTTAACAACTGTTCACCCAACAGCCATGCAGTTCTTTGGCACGAAGGAGACACCTTGAACTTGGGTTTCGTACTGCCGACTCCCTACAAGATGTTATTTTATGTTTAGTTATCACAATTGATGTCACTGCACATTGGGCATACTCATGCGTGCTCAGTTCTCCGAAGCAGCAGCCACTCTAAAGTACTTCTACTAATTGTCCCCATGAGAAGCTGGTTATATTGTCTCCTTTCTCGGCCTCGAAGACGGCAAAGACGTGCATCACCATGCTTAACTCCCATGTCACGCAATCGTGTGAGGAAGAGAGGAAGAGGGAGACCATGAGAGAAGATGCTGGACAGTTTGACATCATGGCCTGGAGGGTCAGTTCAGTGAAACTACATGAGACAGAAGGTTGTGGATAGAGAAGGACTAGCAACACCATACTGCATGGACTTTGAGAAGAACCCTGGTAGAGGATGCTCATGTGCATTTTAAATGAATTTGAGATCTGTGTAAATTTGTTAGAAACAGAAGAACCACTAGCATTTTGGCTGACCTCTATGGCGTTCCTTTATTCCCTGGCCCCATATCAGGTTCTCTTCACCTGGGTAGGTGTGCTCATCAGGGTGTGGGTTCATTGTCTGGGTAAAAAAATAAAGTAAGTCTATTAGGGCAGCATATACTAAAGTAAAGAAGGCTTATAATCGAACTAGGACCACTATTTTGAAAACATTGACTTTAATGCAAATATAATGAGCTGTACTCATAAAACAATGCTGATTAAAGCCTTTAAAAAATGTGAATACTCACCTAAAGTTGAAAATATTTGTCGTAATTTTCATATTCTGGTTTAATGAACAAATGATTTCAATGTAGACATGCTTCGACTGCTGGTGTCTCAAAATGAGCTAATGAAAATTCCAGAATGATGGCAAAGAGGTAACCTGGGATGGATAACACAAATAAATTACTAAAACATGACTGCACTAGTAACTCATAGAAAACCAAAAGTAAGAAGCAGAGGGAAAGAAAATGAATGAACAAGTGAGAAGACAAGACAAAGCAGTGATTAGCACAACTAAGTAGCTTCCCACTGAACAATAAATACAAGGATAAGAGAAGATATGTGGGCTCTCAGGCACAGACCACAATAATATAACTTACAGCTCAATTGATGGGAAAGACATAGTCAATTTAACAACAACAATAACATCTAGCAGGACACTTCTACAAACTACAAGTAATAATCTATGAATACCCAACCAATACTTAACAAGTATATATTCATTTACTAAGACTCAATTGCTGCACTGCACATAAGCAACATATTTACGACATGCAGTCAAGCAAACCATCTATACACTGTAACACATGGCTACTATAACACCTTTGGAGATCAACCTTCTCTGGCAAATACATCCAGATATGCCAAGTTAACTCAACAGTCTACTAAAGTGAATAACTCAGACCAAATAGTGTCTAAATACACTATAACGTAGAGCAACCAGTATTTACATCTTACAAACTTGTTACTTTTCCTTCTAGACCTGCTTTTGTCAAGAACTCGCAGCCTGTGTATCCTTCGAGATGCTGAATATTAGGGCTGTACCGAATAGTGATTTTCACTATTTGGCCGTATACGAATAGCGGGACCAACTATTCGGCCAATTACAAATAGTGTATAAAATTTATTTTTAAAAAATCACATTCATAATGTCAAAAGTACGCTGAACTTTGACTTCACATAAAGTAGCACAGAATAGTCATATTCTTCTTTAGCATTCTGAGTCTTTGAGGTTTACTGCTGCAGATATCACTCATCTCCATTCATCTCTCTGGCTGGCCTTATCTTCACAATTTGTGACACCAGTTGTTTGTAGGTCTGACTGAACATTATCTCTTTAACTTCTTTTTTGTCTGCCTCGTGGTCTACCCCCAGTCTTATCTTAGGTGTACACAGTTTTTACTTCTCTGTCATCTGACATTCTTTCAATATGCCCCAACCATTTTAGTCTGTTAGCTCTCATGATGCCGGTGATCATTGGTGATTTAAACAGATTGTGTGTTACATTGTTACTTCTCACTCTCCATTCCCCGCTGTTTGCATCTTTGATGGGTCAAAGATTTGTCGTAAGACTGTTTTGAAAGCCTGTAACTAAACCTGGAAATTGTCACTGACAGCTTATTTAATGCAGGAAAGCTGTATTAGCTTTCAAGAAAACCAATTGTTCAATATTGTCAATATTAAGGCCGTGTATGCAGAAGCGGGTGTAAGATAACTACTATTTGTTTTTGGCCTGACCGCAACTATTCGGCCGGATACCGAATAGTCAATAGGTCCACTATTCGGACCCGAAGCGAATACAAAGCGAATATTCCGTACAGCCCTACTGGATTGTATAATGAAGTCAGCTTACTACTATAAGTAATACAGTGTGCCCTTAGGCTTCTGGCTTATTTCTGGATCAAACAGCTAACTTTTTCAGGATAATTTTTTTCTAGAATTTGGACAGCATTAATTTTCAGTATAATTTTTTTACTGCAACTTAACAAAGCTAACACTTTCCCGAAGAAAAGGTACTGGCTCTATAGGGATGAATAATATGTCAAATTGAAGAGAAATAAATGCATAATAAATCTAACCTATTTAAGTGTCTTTATTAGAAAAAAATATTATTAAAATCACACAACATTCAAGGATGTTAAGATGCATTTGAAGATTAGGCACTCTTCCAAATACCGGTCCCAAATTATTCTCAGCGAAAAACATCCATTTGAGAGCCTCAAGAGGTTATGTAGTAAAACATTTAGGCCATCATCATCAGCTATAACTTCTGCCATTTATGCTCGATGAATAGCAATGTTTAGACGTTGACCTAAGCGCCGTGGGGAGGAGCAGTTTTTAATCCAGCGTTTAAAAGCCGTGGGGAGGAGTAGTTTTCGATGCATTAAATCGCAGTGGGGAGTAGTAGTTGCACTGTTCACATTACCCTCTCTTCCTTTGTGGGTTCCAGGCCCACATGTTTAAGGGGAAAAAAAAATAGATCCACTGCCACCTAAAAAAGCATGTTGTTAAAGGCGACTAATTATGACTGTGCTGAAATTGGATGTATTGGGACGAAAGGCGCAGATATCGCAGCCTAGCTGTAAACCACAGCACAACGTGCCAACCGCAATTTTAAGAGGGTTAAAAAAAAATTATCACCCGGCAGACTCAAGAGTTTGGTTTTGAATGAAATTATGTAATAACACGAAGCATAGTTGTAGTGTTCCTATTCCATAGTTCTAAATATATGACTTCTTGAGGCCCTGAATTAGATTTTTTTTAACAGTGAATAATTTGGGACCCGTATTCGGAAGAGTGCCGAAGATTATTTACCCATAAAATGTTGTGCTTATCTTACTTTTTACTCGTTAAACATCACTGTTATCCGTTTCTAAGAGTTCATAGGCCTTCTCTGTTCAATTATGTATCAGCTAGTCTTTATTTTATGATTGATTTTATCTGATTCAAGAACCGACAGTCGAATCACAGCACTAGGGGCATTTTATTTCAACAACTTGTTGAACAAGCGACTGTTAACTTGAAGAGGGGGGGGGGTGAAAATATGTTTCTTCTGAAACAGAATAGTCCCGGAAACTAATACATCTTACTTAGCCCTTTACTTAATTGAATATTTTACACTGTGAGAGGAAAAATTGTGTTGAATCACTCCATCATTCTGGTGGATGGCGCCATGTTGCTATAAACAACCAACATGGCGGTCTTGAAGGGACAGCACTGTGAAATTATATGTTAAAGAAGGAACACTGGTAATTTACAATGCGAAAGTTGATATCTTATTTTCTTGCTTTGCTTCTTCTTTATATGCAAGACACCCCTATTTGAAATTGTGGCTCCAGATTATGTTGTTTCAATCGATGATGAAGATTGGTCGGAACGTGCGCAGTTGAGTTATATGAGTTAAGTTATGAGTTAGATTATCTTCACAGCTCTCCAGACACATCCATGGGCCCTCAGATTCCCCTCTCAACATATTCATCAGTGTCGTGCGGTTAATAGTACCAGTCCTATGTTAACACGACTTCGTGTGCGTCCGGTGTGCTTCTTATGCTTGGCTGTGCCGATCTTTATATTCACGTATTCTTAGCAGTGATGTTGACACGCTGCTTCCAAAATCCTCAGAACGTCATATCTCGCTAAGGGCAATGACAATGTCTGCGTGATCCATGGGCCTGCCATCTTCAGTTAATGCATCACCTGCCAGTCTATCAGCTTTCTCATTACCAACAACACCTGCATGCCCTGGGACGAATATGAAGGTAACTGCACACACAGGCGAGTTTTAAAACAACTCAAACCACTGTCTGTGTAACTTGACTGCCTAGACCCGCCTAATAATGCTCGAAGAGAAACGTGCTGTTGTGCCTGTGTCTTTTTTAAGCCCCTGGCGCATCTGGCATATGATGCTGGATAATGTTTATTTAGGCCATGCATGTACCGGAATGATAATCTGTTCTAATCCTATATCACTGTGAGAGAAGAGAATAGTAGCGCGTAAAACCGAATTTTTCGTCGGTTATAAATTAATCAAAGCTACCGCATTTTTTATATTAAATTTGGCGTTTCTCATTATGTATTCTACAGATGTTGAACAAGTATCGCAATAAAATGCATCCTTACCTTTCCCAGTTTGGCACCCAGACTAGTTCGATGTTTCACCGGTTATCCTGTTTGGTTTTTGAACAACGGATCAACATCATGGCACACGGATAGTAACCCATAAGTGCTCCGTTCTTCTCCTAACTCAAGTCTGAGCCAGAAGAAGCTCAGCACAATGAACAGGCTCTATAGCACCGGCGAGGATCCTGAAACACGTTTAGATAGATTTTCAACTCCAAATTTTTCCCGGGCAGTGCTATTTTGCTACTTTTTTTTTATTTCCAACTGCCAGAGGATTTTTTTACGTGTGCGACAATACACACTGGCGTCTGATCTCACTACTCAGAGACCAGGGGAAATTATTAGAAGTCCAAGTCCATTTAAATAAACCCCGGCCCTTACCAGGGATTGAACTCAGAACCTCTAGCATTCGAGGCGGGCACCGTGCCTCGAGACCACGCAGCCTCCTACCGGTTACCCTAATAGCGTCTGTGTATCATTTCATTTACACCGATCCAGTATGCTGGAAATCACATCTCTGATTCTTCTTCTTCTTCTTTCGTTCGCCTTAAATAAGTTGTGTATATCAGCAATTTTGTCTCTTGTATACATTTCCCTGTTGTTGTTAATTCATTCAGTGGTCTATAGAGTTTACGTTCCACTGTTATTCTTTCTGGCCAAAAGGTTTGCCTTAATGTGTCAAATTCGGTGCAGTCCTGGAGTACATGCTCTGCTGTCTGGGGTACCTTTCCACAGATCTCTGATGTTCCCATAATATCCTGCAAGCGCTGATTTTGGACACAGATAAAAGTGGTATTGTAGTCTATGAAACAGGTATGAAGGTCTACATTATAATCTCCGCATTTTGTAAAGATGGTTCTGACACTGAATGTATGGTCACTAGTTCCGCTGCCCTTTCCTAAACATACTCTAATTACCATTCTAGTTTCCTTTAAACCCTCTTCATTATGTTTC